TTCCCGTAGGATCTATCGAAAAGATTTGAGAAAATAATCCCAACCATCAAATGCATGTTATTTTCTGGCACCAGACTACTAAATCATATAACTATTTCAAAGGTTGTTAAATTTCATCTCAGAGAATAGACTTTGGATGAACTGAATAAAATATGGTTCTTTCAACATAGTTGAAGCTATCCCGTGCGTTTGATAGTTCGGATACTTCGGTTTCATTGTTTCCTTAGGCTCTATGGTAACGATTTGAGAAGACAAATATTTCATTTCGCCTGTTCGCCGAGTTTGGCAATTTGTTTGCAAACGCTTCATCACCTTCTGAGGTGACGTCATCAGTGCTTGAATGAACCATATTTTACCATAGCAGATTTCAAAATTGTAGAATTATTTTTTATGGACAATCGTTACCCCGTTCTACTTTGAATGGTTCTCGGACTAAACGGTTTTGTTCATCTGTTTGATCGAACTGTTTATTTAGGAAACAGTATAAGGTAAGATAGCTGAAAGCAGCATCCAGATCATCAAACAGAAAATAATTGAAAATAAATAGGTACACAAGCACGATCTTCCACAAAACTGTTTCGCTTTGTACTGTTTCAGTAAAAGTGTTGAAAATGGCTTCACATGTTTTGTTTAAATTAGGTGTTTTAAATGAAGAATGAATGCATTCTGTTTTCACCAATTACTGAGGCTCGTCAGGAAAATATTTGAGGTGATGATTTACTTTTCCTAGCAAAGTTAAGTTTAATCCAAATGATTTTTGCAAGGGTCATGAATTCATATTGATCGCTGATAAATTTATTGGCAAATCATACGGATTGGAACTTTGCATAGCTATCAGTACACGTTCAAATTTCTATGCTGACCACACAAGAATAGTGAAGCTGTAAAGTATCCCAGAGAGTCGAACCACCCGCCTAACCGCATGTTTCCTTTTTTCCCCTTATCTTGCAGATTCGAGGGACCCCGCCCCCCAGGAGAACACAAATATCGGCACTCAAGAGTAGAACGAAGACACGCGAAGTTGGGTTGTTTTGATCGAACATCTGTTTTCTGTACGTTCTTCTTCCTGTATGACGATTGACTCTCCTGGTGCCCTTTTTGCCCAGCTGTTGTTGTGCCTCGAATGTACGCTTCGCATCCTTGGGTTATTTTAATATAATTGTTCTTCACGTTGATACTGCATTCTCCCTTAGGATAACTTTGCCTGACTGTGAATCTTGTGTGATTCCTGTGCTTGCCTCGTGGAATAGACCGTGCCGAAGTTTATGTGATTAACATTACCCTGCGTAACCAATTCCATTGCAGGGCCTTGCGGAATTATCTGCTCATTCACGACTGTGTTGCTCATTCCCGGACTAACTGACTACGGTATACAAATTACAAATCCACCGAGGAATTCTTATGACTTACTACGCTCATGTTTCTGCCTGTTGCCATGTAGCAATTGTATTTGCCGGTCCTCCTCGTTGACAGTGATGTAATCTGCACGAATTCAGTCCTAATGCCCTCAGGGGAGTCGGTCGGTTAACAAAACCGATTAAACTCATGATACTGTGAAAGGGAAATCTTCACCGGGAGTCCTTTGTTTGTGATGTAACAATCACGTGTGAACGAAGACCGCGGGCCACAACTAATCACTTGAGCAGAGCAGACAAAATCACGGCTCCAAGTAACTTTAATCCAGACAATTGTCCAGATACACAAAACTTGGAAATTCTCAAAGGCTCAATTGGCTGATTGCAGTTCAAAACATATGTTTTCCTTTTTGAATTGTCACGATTTTAATCAGGTAAATCTAATGCAGTTCAACGTACTACTTCGACAAGTTATCTGCAAACCTCTGGGGTGGTCTGATAGATTTTGTTCCTACTTCTCAACACTCAACAACTGAGCGGTTTTAGAGCTCTTCTTAACAGTTTATCAACTGTAGGACAAAAAACATATGAAGTTTTATAAATCTTCAGTCAAAAATATTGTTTTACTTGTTCGAATCTGAAGTAAAGAAATGGTGCAGTCGCCTCTGAACTATGGGTAAAACAGTCAGTATTTGTCTCAGCAAGTACAGCAACGTTTTATTCAGCTTTTCCAGATGGATCGACAACAGCCTTTCAAATACTCTGACGTTCTTTTCAACCGTAACTTCACCTGGTCTGACCACGTCATTGATGTCAATCTGAATGTCAGGATGTTCATATTTTATTTTTTACGTCTTTAGTCAATATCTATCCCAAATCGTCTCACAATGCGTTTTGTTTTTGCTTGCGCTTTGCCCCACTGGCTACATGAGTCCCATGTTATCTTTCTGGGTCTTTTTAGCAAGGACCTCAAACATCTTCCCCGATCCCTCAATTTTTTGTCGGTATGTGGTCTTATACCCCGGGAACATCTAGTACAGCATGTAGTGGCACTCCGCCTTAAGTCCTGTAAAACATCCTACAAGAAGATTTGATCTTATATTTCGCATCCCGTTTGTCCTTCTCTTAGTCAGTGCTTTTCTTATTCATCCACCGGTTCCAGTCATAAACTGATAAGGGTACGCAGGGAAGCTTACAAGCACTCCACTGTACCTTATCTCGCCAGACTTCTTACAAACTATGAACTCATCGCAGAAAATCTGCGCGAAATGCTAAGCTAAACCAATCATAAACACCGTGTTGCTGTCTATTTCACTTTTTTTTAATTAATAGATTATATTTTGCATTTTTTTAATTGTTGACACTGTGGTTAAATGGTTGCTGAGCATCCGATCATCGAGGTGCATAAAGCGATTCCTTGACTTGAGTTGACTCTTTTCGCATTAGGAGTAGTCACGCTTTCCACAACAGACAGTGTGTGTGCCTTTTCTTGGAGATCATTAGAGAAGTCCACGCTCTGAACAGTAGTGGTAAATGGGAGAGCTTTTGTAATTTCTTTTTCAACTGGTTAAATAGACGTTAATGTGAAAACTGAAGAACAATGGAAGTTAAAAAAATTTCCCGCTTTAAGTGATGATGTAATCGAATCACAGAATTCAGCTCTATGTGCATCATTGATTTTCTAATGAAATTGGTTCATCCATGTTCTCTATCGTTTTCCGACTTTGTTTCTGCATGTCAACTTGATTCTTTTGGCATGATAATCACAGAAAAATATTTACTTGCAACTTTTGGTGAAATTTAGTAAAACGTCTCACCTTATTCAGTGGTCAATACAGTTAGTTGTCATTGCGGCAGTGAATGGAAATACTGATCGAGTAACTCATAAGCAAATGACATAACTCTTGACTGGAAAGTCAACTGTTCCAGGAACGCAGTGCTGATCAGTCACAAGAAGGAAAAAAACAGCGTGTCGGTGCTCCTTTTCGATCATCACATATGCATACAATTCTGTTGCATCTAAAAGTGTATTAGCATGTACGAAATCAAGGAGTGAATCCCAACCAAGCTCATATGATGCAGATATCAGGTGCCAGAAGATTCTGCTTAAGTGGTACAAGAACGGTGTTTAATAGAAGCTACGAAGCCACAGGACTTTAGATATTTTAAAGTCAGTTGTTTCCTCATTCAAATGATCAACAGTTTCATGAGTTCTTTCAAATTTATGCAAGGCAAATAACTCGTGGTCTCATGACGCAAAATCATCAACATGAACATCTTCATCCTCATCACACGAAGCACCCAGGGTAATTGAGGTGGTAGTAGTAGTAGTAATAAGTCTATGGTAGTGTTTTTCATGTTACGTGATCATGTAAACGTGGGATGGGAAAGTGGAGAGTGCAAAAGATTTTATTCTACCGTTCCCGTTGAGCTCGCTTTGTCCTGAACAATCTTCTCACATGGGAATGGAACAGGTATGGGGGAGTTCTAGTTGCACACTATTTTTTCTCGATGAAAATGAAAGTGTTCGCGTCCGCTAGCTCGCTCGCTCACACATGCACACACACAAACATATATATCAGGTTACACAATCCATGTGTGCGTGCGTGTGCGTGTGTGCTTTCTTGTACACACTTTCTGGTAAGAAACTGATAACCGCGGAGCACATTTTATGGTCTTTTTATGGGCAATTAACAGGGGCT